TGCAATTGTTCCCTCTTTTACTGCTGGCTCCATCATCGTGGTCACAGTGTTTGTCATAGCCGTCTCCTACGTCTACATCCTCATCACCATCCTGAAGATGCGCTCCACTGAGGGGCGCCACAAGGCCTTCTCCACCTGCACCTCCCACCTCACTGCGGTCACTCTGTTCTACGGGACCATCACATTCATTTATGTGATGCCCAAGTCCAGCTACTCAACAGACCAGAACAAGGTGGTGTCTGTGTTCTACACGGTGGTGATTCCCATGTTGAACCCCCTCATCTACAGTCTCAGGAACAAGGAGATTAAGGGAGCTCTGAAGACAGAGCTTGGTAGAAAAAGGAGTTTTGAAGAGAGAGCTTGGTAGAAAAATACTTTCTTAGTGACACCTGTTGTTTCTGTTGTATTTGGTACTATAATGTCACATAGATACGGTAATAAAGAAAATAGAGTTCCTGTGATTGAGACATATTTGTTCATATATCATTACCCAATGTAGAGCTTTTTTAAGTGGTGAGTGGATTTTTAGATATCAAATGGTAAATCGTAGGCTTGTAGTAATTTACCTCTAGTAAAATTAAGTTAAATTTGTCATTAAGGAAAACAAAAAATAATGAAAAACTAATTTGCTGAAAAAAATTTAAGGTAATATTTATATTTATTTTTCAAAAGTACTTCTTTGCTGTAGGTAGAGGTTATTGTAATTCCAAATCATAAAGACTGTGTTCATTTTCAACAGCAGTTTATCCTGAAATATATGTGATTACTGTCACTATGACTGAGTACATTCCAAAGGCCAACGACAAAGTGGAACAGACAGTAAAACTGCTGGAGACGTTTTTCTTGCATTAAGGTTATCTGTTGGAAATGGGCTCTGTGGGCCCAAAAAATTCTAATCTGTGTTTTGGTCTCTGACTCAGGTCATGGATACATGGAGTCCCCAGAAAAGGGTGAGATGCCCTTGACTATCCTGTAAATTCCTTTATCAAGCTAAAAGAGGTGACTTCTTCAGCAGGAATAATCAGTTTTCCTGAACTGTTCAGGACTGAGTGGAACAGATTCTTGGAGTGACTTGTTCGTGGTCAGACCCACATCATTCTAAGGAAGTTTGAGGAATTTGGACTATTTCTCCTTTGAGAACCTTAATGTACCTCTATGTCCTGATGACTACCACATTTATCTTTGTTTGTCTTCTCTTGCACCCCTAACTTGCTCTCCTCCAGTAAGAGGCGTCATCATTCAATCAATGTATTGATTCATAAGCTTAAAAGTAAGTTATTTATCTTTCCTCCTCCATACTCCTGCATTCCATGACAAAGTCCTGTACATCCTGAGTCCAACATTTATCTACTACTTCTCTCCGTCTTCATTGCCAGCACTTCTATTTCAAGCTACCACGTCTTACATTTATTTTACAATCATACCTCTGAGATGGTTAATTTTAAGAGTCAACTTGAGTAGCCTACGATGCCCAGTTGTTTAGTCAAACATCAGTCCAGATTTTGCTCTGTTGGTATTTTTTACATGTGATTACCATTTAAATCAGTAGACACTGACAAAAGCAGAATATCCTCCAGAAGGGAGGGGTGTGCTTTGTACAGTTGCTTGAAAGCCTGAAGAGAAAAGAATGAGATTCTCCAAAGAGGAAGAAATTCTGCCTGTGGACTGGCTTTGGACTGTAGACAGCAACATCAACTCTGGCTGATATTTTTAATCTGCTGGAAAACATGTATGTAATCTCCTACTGCTTTTGTTTCTCTGGAGAAGGCTGACAAACGCACTCTTAGCCAGCTTTCCTCTTCTGTCTCTTACTCTCTTCCAATTCATTGCCATATGCCAACCCTGGCCATAAATATAAATAAATTAGGTCCTTTGTTAAATCCCCCAAAGATCTTAAAATAAAGGCAACTATTTGTGTGTGTGTGTGTGTGAAAAAACGCCAATTCTTTATTTGGAAGGGCACAATCAAAAACAGGAATAAGTACACTCTGAATACCAAAAGGACAGGCACCAAAAATTTGCAGTAGAAAAGGTAAATGGCTAACAAACTCTCAAATATATTCAAGTGTCACTGGTCATAAAATAATTATAAATTAAGCTCTTTTAGCATACACTTTTTTACCTAAATTAAAATTTTTTATGTGAATATACAGAGTGAGAGAAGTTACTGTGAAATATATGGTGCAAGGTAATATTTGCAAGCAATCATTTGTGTTGATCTTTCTCAACAATATGCAAACACAGCCAAATATGTGCCATCTTAGAAATAAAAAGAAATGCACTCACTTCACCAACTATTCCTCACAGCGAATATTTTATTTCTCCACTCTCCTTAAATGCGAAGATATTTAGACTTACATCCTAATTTTATTTTAAGCACTTTATGCATCTCAATCCCTCTTCTAATTGGACTTCCCCTAGATCACTTAATTGTCAGCAAACACCCCTGCATTGCTGAGTTCAATGTTTACTTATTTTTCTTCACTCTTATATTTTATTTTTTATATTGACACATAAAATTGTATGTTTTTACTGTGTACAACCTGATGTTTTGAAGTATACATTGTGGAATAACTAAATCTAGCTAATTGACACATGAATTCCCACACATAGTTATCATTTTTGTGGTGAGAACACTTTACATCCACTCTCTTAGCATTTTTCAAGAATACGATATATTATTAACTATAGTCACCATATTGTACAAAAGATCTGTTGAACTTAATTCTGTCTAACTAAAATTTTGTATCCTTTGTCCAACATCTCCTCAGCCCCCTTCTCCCCAACAGCCCCGGCCTCCTGTAACCACCATTCTACTTTCTATTTCTATGAGACCAATGTTTTTAGATTCCACATATCAACAAGATCATGCAGCATTTGTCTTTCTGTGGCTGCTCTTATTTCACTTAATGTAATGTCCTCCAGATTCATCCATGTTGTAACAAATGTCAGAATTTCCTTCTTTTTTATGGCTGAATAGTATTCCATTGTATATATATGACATTCTTTATCTGTTCATCCATTGATGGACAATTAGGTTGGTTCCATAAATTAGCTATCATAAATAATTCTGCAATTGACATGAGAGTGTAACATACCGGTTTTAATTCATTTAGACATATACTTACTAGTGGGACTGCTAGATCATATGATAATTCTATTTTTAGAATACTTTTTGAGATACCTCCATGCTATTTCCCAAAATGACTGTACTAATTTATAGTACCACCAATAGGGTATAGGTGTCCCCTTTTTTCCATATCCTCACCAACACTGTGATCTTTCTTTTTTTTTTTTTTTTTTTTTTTTTTTTTTTTTTTTTTTCCAAAGAATTATTGGGATTGTTTTATCTTTTTTTTCTATTTATTTGTTTATTTATTTTTATTAGCTCCCACATATAAGTGAGAACATGTGGTATTTCTCTTTCTGTGCCTGGCTTATTTCACTTAACATAATTTTCTATAAGTTCATCCATGTTGCTCTGAATGGCAGAATTTCATTTTGTTTACAGCAGAGTAGTATTCCATTGTGTAAATATACCACATTTTCCTTATCCAGTCATCTGATGATGGGCATTTAGGCAAGTTCCAACTCTTGGCTATTGTAAATAGTGCTGAAATTAACATGGGAGTACAGCTATCCCCTTCACATGATGATTTCCATTCCTTTGGATAAATACCCAGCAGTGAGATACCTGGGTCATACGGCAGTTCTATCTGTAGTTGTTTGAAGAACCTCCATACCATTTTCCATAATGGCTGCACCATTTTACAGTCTCACCAACAGTGTAGGAGGGTTCTCCTTTCTCCACATTCTCTCCTGCATTTATTATTCTCAGTCTTTTTTACATTAGCCAGCCTAACTGGAGTAAGATGATATCTGAGTGTAGTTTTGATTTGCATTTTCTGGATGCTGAGTAATGCTGAGCATTTTTTCATGTGTCTGTTGGCCATTCTTATATCTTCCTCTGAGAAATGTCTATTCAGTTCCTTTGCTCTTTTTTTAATTGGGCTACTTGTTTTTTTGCTGTTAAGTTGTTTGTGTTCCTTGTATATTCTGGATATTAATCCTTTGTTGGATGCCTATTTTGCAAATATTTTCTCCCACCATGTTGGTTGCCTTTTCACTCTGTTAATTGTTTCTTCTGTTATGCAGAAGCCTGTTAGTTTGATATAATTCCATTTGTCTATTTTTTCTTTTGTTGCTTGTGCTTTTGGGGTCATATAAAGGAAATCTTTGCACAGACTAATGCCATGTTGCTTTTCCCCAGGGTTTTCTTAAGTAGTTTTATAGTTTTTTAGGTCTTATATTTAAGTCTTTAATCCATTTTGAGTTGAGATAAGGGTCTAATTTTGTTCTCCTGCATGTGAATATTAAGTTTTCTCAACACCATATATTGAAGAGACTGTCCTTTCTCTATTGGGTGTTCTTGGCTCCTTTGTCAAAAATCAGTCAGCTATAGATGTGTGAATTTATTTCTCGGCTCTCCGTTCTGTTCTATATATCTTTTTTCATGCAGCACTATGCTGTTCCAATTACTATAGCTTTGTAGTATATTCTGACATCAGGTAGTATAATGCCTCCAGCTTTGTTCTTTTTGGTCAATATTGCTTTGGCTATTTGGGGGCGTTTATGGTTCCATACCAAATTTAGGATTGTTTTTTATATTTCTGTGAAGAATGTCATTGGTATTTGGATAAGAATTGCATTAAAACTGTAGATCACTTTGGGTGGTATGAATATTTTTACACTATTAATTCTTTCAATCCATGAACATGGGTCTTTCCATTTATTTGTGTCTTTATTGATTTCTCTCATCAATGTTTTATAGTTTTCGTTATACAGATCTTTCACCTCCTTGGGTAAATTTATTCTTAAGTATTTTATTTCTTTTGTAGCTATTATAACTGGGATTGTTTCCTTGATTTCTTTTTTAGATAGTTTGCTATTAGGGTATAGAAATGCTACTGCGTTTTGTATATTGACTTCGTATTCTGCAACTTTACTAGCTTATTAGTTCTAATGGTTTTTTGGTGGAATCTTTAACTTTTATATATATAAGATCATGTCATCTGAGAATAAGCACAATTTAATTTCTTCCTTACTATTTAGGGTGGATTTTATTCCACTCTTTTGCCTAACTGCTCTGGCTAGGACCTTCAGTTCTATATTGAATAGAAGAGGTAAGAATGTTCTTCAACCTTAGAGAAAAATCTTTCATCTTTTCCCCTTTTAACATAAAGTTAGCTGTGTATTTGTCATACATGGCCTTTATCATGTTGAGGTACATTACTTCCACGCTTAATTTGTTGAGAGTTTTATCAGGAAATGATATTAAATTTTGTCAAATGACTTTTCTGCACATAT